ACACAAAATATGCAATGCAATAATGATTGTGAAACAGATTTCTCATACGTAGGTGCAGAAACAGAGATCATCCCAGAGCCAAAACAGCTTAAACTGATGGTTAAACTGCCTGTGTTTTTAATGGAAACTATGCTCAGTGTTTGCTCTCTCTCTGTCTATGTGTGTGTGTGTGTGTGTGTGTGTGTGTGTGTAAATCTGACTGTGTGATTTATGAGATGTGAGCGCTGTATCAGAGAGTGAGATTGGTGGGTTAGCCAGCTTTCTTCGGTCTTAACACAGGCTTTCCGGTATCATGCAGCAGGTTTACTTTTACCTTATTGTAACTAAGGTGCATTGCTACACAGCTTAAATACTCCAGAGCAACTCAGATGATTGGATCAAAGCAGCATGGCTCCAAACCAGTCAAATTACTGGAATTAAGAGTCATAATTTCTGCAAAAATACTGTAGTGTTATTGAGTTAAATTGAAGAAAGTTGACCGCACTTATAATGAATGATATTTACTCTATGATATTAGATAATAGAGCTGGATTACTTTTAGTTTTGAAAGAGAGCCATACAAAATACACAGCAGCCAGTCCAGAGGCCAAACATGGAAAAATGGATGGATGCAAGCACTTCATTGTTATGAACATGAAAACAGGTCTAAAGCTGCAGCAGAATCACCTTGACTGCCAATATTTTCTAGGTGGCCAACTGTGTTACTGCAACAAAGTATTCCCTGCATCCTGAGAGAGTCTTATAGGCCACCATCTTTATAAAAACACCTCAAACATGACACAAGGTCAGTTATTGACCGTACTGTCACACCCTTGGCCCTTCCATTTTCAGCTGAAGAGAGGGGCAAATTTCAGCGTGATTGCATGTTTAAAGGGACAGTTCACCCGAAAATCAAAAATACATATTTTTCCTCTTACCGATAGTGCTACTTATCAATCTAAATTTTTTGGTCGGAGTTGCTGAGTGTTGGAGATACCAGCCGTAAAGACGTCTGCCTTCTCTCCAGTATAATAGAACTTAATGGCACTTGGCTTGTGGTGCCCAGAGTGCCAAAAGAAAAAGTGTGCTTCTACTCATGTACTGTAAAACCTGCTTAGTTAATGTAAACTCAAGAGAATTGTTGAAACTGATTATATCAAAAATTTGAAGTAACCCTTTTTAACTCTTTTAAAGGGACATTGTGTAACATTTTCAGTTGTTTAGTTGTTGTTGTTGATGTCTGCATTCATAAATATGTCATCACTGGTGTACTATTACCTCCACCAATAATCTGACTTGTTCTTGTAAAAGGAGAATTTCAGATTTGTTTGTACATTGTGTGGGCAAGTCGTCTGGGGGGGTTCCATAAGGTTTCACCATCCTGAGAATACATCCGCCAGCAAGGGACATACAGCGCCGTCTTCTGCGTTTTCGTTGAGAGCCAGGCCAGCGCTGCGTGACTGAGAAGCCGAAGGAGAGGAGCAAGATGCACTTCGCTACTACCCTGGCAAATTTGAAACAAAGCCCCACTCTTTGAGCATAATGCAGGATCATGCATATGCACCATCACATGAGACAGAATCCTCGTCGCCAAGAAAGCTCAAAAGGCAATCAAAAAGGCAACGAGACCGGCGAATTAAAAAAACGAGGGTCAACACCGGGGTAGCCTTTCCCAGGTGGAGAGAGCTGCTGAAAGAGAAAGGTAATGCAATCACAGCTAACAGCGCTAACAGCGGCACAGTGATGCGAGGAGAGGGATGAGGTGTGTGAGGTTGAGCCACTTGTCAGTTGTCAAAAGACAAGCTGTGATTGGTTTGTTTCGATTTACACCCGCCCCAACAGTCCTACGTTGTAAACACAGCCAGCATGGTGAGGAGGGGGTTTGTCAACTCACGTCGCATGTGTCTGTGTAGGAGCCTGAATGAATACTCCATGAAGTATTGGATGACATGGTTTCATCAATGTTATAATAGCTTTTTGGTACACAGTGGCTACCATTGTTGCAATATGCGTTTGAAACAGTGAGGCGCTAGAGTGCGCTATCCATTTGAATGCAATATATGATTTCAACGTTAGATGGGAGAAATTCCTACACACTGTGGCTTTAGTTAAAAAAACAATTTTTATCAAGTTGATTTTACTCATAATTTCTAAGCGGTGCTAACTTAGTCAAAGCAACAATCCTGATTAAGTACACTTTACTAGGTATGTTGTTTTGCCATTACAGAAAACAGTAAGTATAGCTAACTCAAATATTTCATCACCTTTAAATCAACATATCAATTTATCTGTAAGGCATGATTTACTTTAACATTACTTAACTTTTTTAAGTTTAGTAAAGCTGTACAAACTCCTCTGTAATTACAAACTTTGTATACTTTTAACTCAAAATTGGATGTTCAAGTACTTAAATTCTTTTTTGAAGCTGATTACATAAATAGCATTGAGTAGCTTCAACTCAAAAACCCTAAATACACATATAAATACAAGAGGCTTGTGCTCGTGACAGCGTGAGATGTAAACATTAATGGCGTCCTTCTTGGCTGAGCTGTAACATAAGCTAGCTCAGTGGTACTAGGTGAGCTAGCAGTAGATGCAAGCTTCCCTTTGCGTAGTGATACAGTTGGTGGGTGTAATTTGGTAAAAAGAAAATAGTTCCTACATGAAAATGCTCACAACAAGGTCTGTGGACTATCTTGAGTAACCAGTTCATGATTCACTGACACTGACGCGACTTTTTTCTCATTCATTCCCGTAGCGTCACAGTGCATTAAACAGTGGAAGCTCAGCGTCCAAAGACTTCAGTGGGGAAGCATAGAGTGGGTTGTTCCACTGCAGCGAAACTAGACAGTCAATGGATAAATGCTTTGTCCTGCCCATCGGACGCTCAGCGTCTCTGGGGGTCTATGGGGCAGTGGGCTGGCCTCGGCTGGCCTGGACATTGGGCTTCTGCATGATGATTGGATGATCTGTCTGAGGCTGAATGCCTTTTTGATTGACAGTGAAATGAGCGAATCAGCGATCTTGAAATATAAACCACTATCGGAGCATTTTTCAAGTTTCATTCCGTTGTTCCGAGTTGATCTGGAGACTTTTCCAATCCTCTTAGTGACTTTTTCTTTGTTAAAAACGACTAGCGACAAATCTAGCATCTTTTTCTGGTGTTATTGGAGACTGTACTCGTGTTTGGAGACTCTGACTTCTGTCGCTCTGCAGTTACTGTCCCCAACAAGCAGCGGGTGCTGTGAGCCCCTCCACTGTCCCAAAGCACTCACAGGCGGTCACTCTAGCCTCGTGCAGCAGCCCCAGCTAGCGAGCAAGCTAGCAAGCTGCACATAATGGCAGACAATTTGAATATTGTTGACAGGATTTTGGCGAAGCCATTTGATAGTCTTCCTTACGAGGAGAAACTTAGAGTTAAACAGCAGGGCAGATCAACACCTCAGATTGATTTGGTGCAAAGGGTGGGGAAAAGTAACAGGTCTTTTCACCCATCTGAAAATCTTTGAGGTGTGTTTTGCTGTGGTTCTATGGCATGAGTGTGGTTGAAAAACAGCTTCAATTAAATGCTCCTTTTATAAGTTACTGCTTCTCTACAATATGACAACTTTTATGATGTAAACTTAAAGTGAGCTTCCCCTGTTTGAAAGACCAGCAGCCGCCACTGCAATGCACATAAGCCAACGTATTCCCAACAACAGTTTGGAGCCGGTAAGCTGTCACTGAGTGAGGTAACAGTGGTGTTGGATCAGGATGTACACTTGACTACAGGCCAATACTCAACCCAGCAATCCAGCATTTTAGGCAGTATCAGATCAAATACTGGTATCAGTACTTCTCTAATTTTCTGCGCGCATTGAGCACCACAGGCTGAGTTCCATTACACTGGAGAGAAGGCATCTCTACGGCCTTTATTTCTAACACTCAGCATCTCACACCAAAACAATCCACACTGATAAATACCACTACAAGTAAGAGGAAAAATATGCCTTTTTGATTCTGGGGTGAACTGTCCCTTTAAGTTTGCATTGCGAGTGCAGTTATTATAAGGTATCATGACCAAATTCAACTAGAAATGCCAAAGGGGGGTGGGGGGCAGGCAAAAGCATGGAGGGAGTCATCCTGTTATTACCTTCACTACAATTGTTGTTCACGCTTAAGTCATGTAAGCAACAGGATAACAATGGGCTACCACAAAAGAAGACTAATACATTAAAAGGAATACCGACAGCATGACAGGGCAAATGTCCTGAGTAATCGAAATACCAGGACTTACACAAAACAATAGCCTATTCTGTGCACCAGACCCACACCCCCAAAACAGTTTCCGTTTATATGAACTGAAAAGATCTTCCATCACACACAGTTTTACTAGTAACTTGTGAAGTTTCAAATACATCACAGTTTACATGGTTTTGGCTACTAGGCTGAGCACAAAGTTACCCCAGCCGAACCTCACTGAAATATCAGTCAATTTAGGAGTTATGTGTTTATATCAGCTAACATACACACTTTGTAGAAAACAACTTATGACCTGTTAGATAGTTTTGGAGTCATGCTTCATTCGGCTAATATTCTACCCCAAAACAGTGGTCAGTTAAATAATGAATTATATATTTCACAGCTTCACACGTTCTCACTATCGCATTTCACAACAACGTGACACCATGGGAGGCGACACCAATATTCCAAACAGACTGAGATTTTTATTTAACTTAGTTTAGCCTTTAGTTCTCTAAATTCCCAATGCAGGCTGCTGGTAGTGAGGACGCCAAATCTTTAGTATCGTTTGCAGTCACGTTGTCTCGACTAGTATCACTCCTGTAAATCGAGCACCATAAAAATGCTGGAAAATTGTAAAAGTTGTTGGGAAGTTTTTACAGTTTTCCTCCCAGCTGGTTAAGCAGTTACCACCCAGTAGGATATAAGTTACGAGTTTAAGCGTTCACGTGAAGTTGCTCGTTTGTCACATGTTCAACGTCACGGCTCCTTTTATTTAAAACAAAGTGTAAGTAAGTTACCTGTTAACAGCACGGTGGGCATCAGAAAGCAGTAGAACAGCCAGACAAGCACCTGAAGATCCATGTCAGTACAGATCAATACTCACTTCCCGATAATCAACAACGATGTATCAATAACTACCATCGATCAGGGTAGAAACACTTGTTCGCTAGCTTATACGGCTCCATCGGGGCTGATTGATTAACTGTGACAGAGGAATGAATAGAGCATTATTCCGATACTCGCTCATGATCTTCCATCAAAGAGAGAGAAAAAAGAGAAAAACTTTAGTGGAAAGTCTTCAAACAAACGTGTCCGATTAGTCGATCGTATTGCTCTTCTCTTCTAACTTGTTTAAAGCAGTCAGCTGAGCGCGCAGCAGCAGATCGCCTCGGCTGAGTGAAGTTATCGGTGAGGAAGAAAGCTTTTGTTGCATGTGTTCCTTCGGAGGGGCCCAGGCTGAAGTAACAGTGTTGTAGGTGGAAAATGTGATTCACAGGCAAGTCAGTCAGAAGGGCGTTCATAGAGGAGCTATTCTCCAGTGAGCTGCTGCTGCTGCCGCCGCTGCTGCAGCTGCTGGTCACCTCCCTGCTGCCATACAGCCTATTACTGAAACTTCTGCTTCAGCCAACACTGCACAGCTTGTGACTCTGCTGCACTGCTTTACAACCTCTGCTCAGTTTCAAACTTTTGCTATGAACAGTGTTTTCAGCGAAGAAGAGCGTCAAAGAATACTGACAGGTTTTTAAGGCCTGTCGGCTCTGTGTTGGCATGAGCTCCAAAATGTTATGTTTCTTTATTTTATAAATTGGCATTTGTGACATGACGTCAATCAAAACTGGCGCTGGAAATAGGTTTTCCTTGAAGCCACAAATACTGTCTGCCCTTTCTGACACCAAAGTAAATGGCATTGTGTGTGTCGGTGGCGCCCCCCAGCGTACAGATAAACACTGTGAAGACACGGAGCCAGTGAAGGCAACACTGTAGCAGTGGATGTGCGTGGGAAAATGAGCCCAAGTCAAGTGGTTGCTTTATGGCTTGTGGTAAAGGCGTTACTGGGACATAGGCTGTGAGCAATCACTAGAGGAAGGTCTGGAAAAAAAGCACAACGTGAAATCTTATTTTCTTTTTATCCCTTTAATCATCTGGTTACTCCTTAGATTTTTTTGGGACCCCAGCAGTCCTAACCGCCAGGTCGTAAGTGGAAGAATCACTCAGTTTCAGGTTTGAGGGTTGTCTTAAGCAAAAAAGAGAACAAACTGTTGTCATTTCAAGTGAACCAAGCAGTGCATTATCATCCTCAGTTTTTTTTTTACAATATGGTAATTGTGAGTATTTAAGGATGGTCAGTTAGAGATGCACTGAGCAAATTTACACATTACAGAATCATACACTGGTATTATTATACCCCAGTTAAGCTTCAAAGAATGGAGCTTATGGAGGATAATTGTTGGTGGAGGTGTCGAAAGGAAACGGGGACATGTCTTCATTTATTGTGGGATTGTTCATTTGTTTCTTCTTTCTGGAAAGAAGTAATCAGATGTATTGGAGAATGGTTGCATAAACCATTGTCAGAATCTCTCCAGTTTTGCTTATTAGGAGACAGGTCCCTGCTGCTGGCAGGTATATCAAGGCAACAATTTGGACTTGCTCTGGCAGGCTTTGTCGGGGCATCAAGGATAATTCCACATCACTGGAAGAGCCCAAGAAAGCCTGTGTTTAATGAATGGCTACAGTTGATGTCAGACATTGCCTGACAACTTCAATTGCAAGAACTATCAACTACCAAGGGAAATTTTATGAATTCTGGTCTGCTTTTTTGAAGTGCATAAAAAAAGAAACATAAATGTATGTGAAGATTTCTGTCGACTGTAGGGAGAGGTACTAACTTCTTTATTCTTTAGAACATGTTTTAGTTTATTTATACATTGTATCTCCTTATTTGCATAAGTATGCCTTCAGTTTAATGTAATTATTCATTTACTGACAAGTGCTCAGATTTGTTTGTCTGTTTTGTGTATAAACTGTTTCTCAGCTACTCCATGTGGTATGTTTATTAAGTTGTATCCTTTTGTTGATGTGGTGGAAAATTTAATGGAAAAAAACAAACAAATTACAAAAAAAAAGAATCTCTTAATGGCAGAAAGAATCACCTGCTGCCCCTTGCCTCCTCTGGAGGATATTTCCAGCTCCCAGTGCCTCTGCAGAGCCAAGAAAATTAAAACTGTTCCCACCCAGGTCACTAACTGTTCTCTCTCCTGCCCTCTGGTAGGAGATACACAAGCTTAAAGTCACGCACAAATAGACTCAAAAACAGTTTTTACTCACGGGCCATCAGACTGATAAATAAATACATATGAAGTGATCTTGCTCTTCAAGTGTAATCCTCTATTTATTTTACATGTCCAGCATCTTGATACAGCCTTTTTTTGCAATATTTATTTCTGACTTTATAAATGATTATGTTGTCTGTTTCTCACTTACATTGTTTCTTTGTACACTGACAATAGAGGCTTTCTCCTCTATTCTATTACTTTGTATCTAAAATGCCTCTTGAGCCTTTCATATTGTTGATCAGTGTGTATAGAGTAGGCTAATAACTATTAAGTGGTAAAAACATTGTCTTTAATCTCGTTAGGCTACTTTCCTTTGCTTTCATGCACTTTATTTAGGATGCCTGTCCCCTAAACTTGCAAAGCAAGTCTGTGATGTAAGGAATCCTGAGGTGTGTGGATATGGAATGAGAGATGATTAACACAGAGAAATCAAATGCAAAAGTACTCAAAAGAGCAGGGATATTGGTGTGTTAATGAATGTTGTGGGTCATCAGATTAATCTGGCTGATCAAACTACTGAATGTTATGATTGGTCAAAGTGTCATAATCTCCTAATCTCTTTCATTCTCACTTCTAAAGTAAAAATCTAATAGGCAATGTAAGATGAATCAACTATTTTCAGTACTTTCCTTAGCCTGCAAGAGACATTTGCTTTGCAGACAAAATTCCAGACATATGTAAGCAAAGACACAACAGTGAAGGAAAAAAAATCATAGTGGTCTCATAGAGAAAAAAAGAAGAAGATCATAATTAAGGACAAATAAAAGTAAAAAGACAGTAGCTTGTTTACAGCTTGTTGTCAATGAGGATACCTGTAGCAGCTCTGTGCCATTGATCATGAATTGATCATGTTATGTGAGGGCAGGTGATGTTTGTAAAAAATGATTAATCATGTCCTTCTGAGACATTCAGTTTAAGAGGTTTTACACCAGGACAGAATTCATGTCTTTAACAAAAGTTACAAAGACATATTTGTACTCAGTTTTGAGATACTTAATTACTTCAAATTACGGCTGTGCTGTTTAAAAACTTGGTTGAATTATAGGTAAATTAATCTCTATCAACATCAATAACATTCAATTACACATTCTCATTGAGGCTCATGTAGGCCTACTTCATGAAATATTAATGTTTTATTGTGCAGTCAGTAGTCAGGGCCAAGTCATCAGGCTGTCAATCATGTTTTGTCCTTAATGAGTCTTAATGAGGCTTTAATGAGTCAACTCTCTCTGTTATGTCCCCTGATCATCCAAATGAAGAACAACTGTAAAGTCTGTTGTGAATGATTTTGTAAAAGCCTACACAATATATGTATACATATATATATATATATATAATCCTTTATGTGTAGGCTACATATACTTGGTCATTTTTTGTGCCTTTGTTAAACTGGGTTTATTTCAGAAGGATGAGTCGGTGTCGCCATTCATGCGCTTGTTTTATAAAAAAAGAAAAGAAAAGAGTCAGACAAAAGCAATCAAAACAAAACAGCACAGATATTTACACTATTTACTGAAATAGAACATGATTAAAAAAACCAAAATAAACGTTTTAATTCAAAACGAATGTGACTTTAATACCCGCTGCATATATCAACGCTATCCTTCTTTTATTTTCCTAAAACGTAAACCGGATGGGGCGTGGCTTTGTTGATTTCGCGCGAATTTTCTTTTCTTCTTCCTGTGCATGTGAGCATTTCCGGTGAGCTATTGTGAATGGGTAGTATTTACATCTTTACCGAGTAGCGTTCACAGTAGATTCGTGCAGAGTCTCACTTTGCGGTTCCCGTGTCCACCTGAAGCAGCAGCAGCATGTCTCAGGCTCGAGTTACGGATTTCTTCTCCCAGAGAAAGAAAGGCATCGCCGGTCCTTTGAAAGCAGCCAAGCAGCAGAGCGGCGCTGTTATCGGCCGTGGCTCCTCTGGGACCAGCACAAATGTTGCCAGCACACGGTCAAGATCCTCGAAAAACAAAGGTGTTGCCATTTGTTCGTCCTCCGTACATGAAGAGTTTGTCCGAGTTATTGACGAAGCAGCGGGGATACACGACGGAGCGTGTAACACCAGTAGCACCGGGAAAGAGTTCCCCTCTTGTCCCCGGACACCGAAGAGGACTTCGGCCGAGACAGAGTTTGACCGCGGTGCAGCCGTGTTTTCAGCCACCGCCGACCACAGCACGGCCAAGAAGAGACGGCAAGCGGAGGTCGTTGGAGACGCTAAAGCTAATGTTCCGGAGAAAGCAACGAGGAGGACGGCCAGGAAGAAACTGGTCCTCCCTCAGGACACACCACAGGTAACTTTAATGTTGTTCTGACTCCGCTATCTTTGAGAGAAATATCTGAAACCCCAGGTTGTGTCTTAGCAGCACTCAATGTGTCATTTTAAAGTCTTGTCCTCATCCTTGACCTAAACAAAGATGGCAACAGTTTGCATATACAGTCACATTGTACGTGTGTAATACTCATACCAACAAAGGCTGAGCTAAATCTATGTTGCTGCTGTGTATCTCCAGGCTGCAGTCCAACTCCAGCCCACTGAGGTGACCCAGCAGCCTACAGCTCCTGCAGCCCCAGTTTCTACACACACTGCTGAGAACCAGCCTCACTCCCAATCCAGCAGCTCTCCACAGAGGAGTCAAGTCACCAAAAAGAACACTGGAGGACGGGCCAACAAGGTAACATACTGTGCTTAGACTGACAGAAGATCAGGCTTCAGTCACTGTGGTGCTGTAGTTCAACCTGAAAGTGACAAAATTGTGACAGAGCCAAGCGGGTTTATGTTGTCACCTGTAGTGCTTCAATATCTGTAGTAAAACTGTATCAGTAAGCATTGATAGGTGAATCCAACACTGTGTGGAGAGAGGAGAAACCTACACAGTTTTATGTATCAGGTCACTAATGATGCATTTGTGCACAGTTTCAGTCTGCAATTTCCCAAAAAACGGTGGGTAATTTTTTGCAAAGGGAGAAGAAAATGATGTTCTTATCTGCACATACATTTGGTGCTGTAGTGTGTATTTGGAGAAGCAGGACAGTGTATGCAGGATTGAGTCAAATATACTACAGTGTGTGTGTTCATGGTGATGAAGGAACATTTCACTTAGTGCAACAGTGTGGCTCAGTGTGCTTTTATAGTTTTTAGACAACAGCGGAGCTCAGTGTCCTAAGAGCAACATGTCTTGTCATGGTTTGTTAGTAGGATACATTCATAGTTGGTTTGGCTTTGTACATGGGATAAGTTGACAACAAGAAAAAGGGAGTCTCAGTCATCAGTGTGCAATCCCCCTTTCTGTCAGGCTTTGTGTAAAGAGGACATCGCAGCCCTCAAGGCTCGCCTTCAGAGGATCAAGAAACACGCAGAGGAGATAACCAGTGCTGCTTCTCCCGCTTCAGCTTCCTCAACCCCTCCAACTGGTTCAGCTTCCAACAAATCCACCCCCTCTGTCCCCAAGACTGCCACGTCTGCCACCTCTGATGCTAAGGCCCTCAACTTCAATATAGCACAAGTCAAAGAGCTTGCAGCTAAAGCTCAGCGGAGGAAGGAGGAGAGAGAGGCCGAGGAGAGCAAGTTGAGTGAGGCACAAACACAGGACAGGTGAGCATCTACACATACAGCCAAACATTATAAACCAGTCTGTGCAGGTGGGACACTAACAGTAGGTCCTGCTGAGTCCAAATCAGAAACCAAAGTAGGGCTGAGATTATGATTATTTAACACCAGTACTCACTGATGTTGGAAACATTATGCACATTGAACTTTTAAACAGATGTCTTTACCAGTGGATTTTCTTGAACTTTAAATATAATTGAACTGATAAACAGACTCACGGTGAACTAAGCATGCCACAGACTGGCTTAGAGTGAGTTTGGGTGAAAGCGAACCACTGTAAAGGAAAAGGGTACACTGGATTCATAACATAAGACAAACAATAGCATTATTGTGCAACTGAACACAGCACAATAAATGCCTCATCTCTTGTTTTCATAATTGTTGGAAGCTAAAACCCAGCCCTAAGTCAACATGTTTTTTCCCTGTCTTGTCCTGCAGTACCGAGCAACCAGCATACCAGCGGTACCACACCCTCGCCCAGGCGGCCCCCCCTGGCCTCTCCCTGCCTTACCAGTACAAGGTGCTGGCTGAGATGTTCAGGAGTATGGACACTGTGGTTGCCATGCTGTACAACCGCTGTGAGACAGCCACCTTCAGCAAGATCAAACAGGGAGTTCAGGACATGATGCACAAGTAGGTGGAAGGACGGACAGACAGATGCAATTGTTTGCATATTTGTTTTTGACCTATGTTCAATTTGATACAGTGCAGGATACCTAATGCTCAAACTGATGAACTTTTTCTTGTAAATAAGTCTTCAGAAATATGTTATTTCAGTGAAAAGTTTGAGTCTTTGTAAAACACTCTGTTAACATGACTCCTTGAAAAAAAAATCTGCTAATCACACCAGGACGAACAGTTTTCAGGTTTAAAGTTACACTAATTCTCCTAGGTACACCAAAACCCACTGTCGTCATGTTGGTTTAAAACCTCTTTTAGATCCTTTTGAAATAATAATTTATCAACACATAGAACAATCTTCACACTTTGAATTTCTACACTACAGTATATCCTGGAGGAAAGAACTGGCTGTCAGGCTGCAGAAGCTAATTTTTATCCCCCCCCACCCCACAGGCGATTTGAAGAGAGCCAAATCAGTCAGATAAAGACGGTGTTTCCCGAGGCCTACATATTTAGACAGGAGAAGAACATCCCAACCTTCAACAGCAGCATTAAGAAGGGCAGCTACCAGCTCACTGTGGAGCCCGTCATTCCCTCTGGTAAATACACCCTTTTCACTGTCTTTTAGGTCATGACTTCTTCTGTCCAAATGTTCGAAGTTGGCTTTTTTTAAAAAATATATATTACAGTTTGGATTTGATGTTTTCTGTAAATGGGATGTATGTAAGCTGTGGGTCTAACTGCAGGTCCCTGTTTGTACAGTCGGTGCTCCTGATCAAGTGCCTTCTACACTTTTTGTGTCCATGTATTTACCTGTGTGCTGTTGTCCCCCTCAGACCAGAATGAAGTCCGTCCTGCCCTGTCAGCCTCTCGTCTCCTGGAGAGAAGACGCATCTTTCACCTGAATCTGGTCTCCATAGTCAAACAGCACCACAAGGTCAGCAGCTACTCCACTATTGCTTGTAGTTGGCTAGTCACAACCAGGCATAGGCAGCATATGGGGACATTGATTCCCCAAATAAAAAAGAAAATCAAATGTTATCAAGTATGGTTATTTTATACCAATTATTAGTTGAATATACAGAACAGTTACTGTTTCGTGATATATGTATACTGTTACCATGAGCGTCTATATTGCCCAGCCCTAGTAAAAGATTCGCGTTCTGAGCTGAAGTCTCCATACATGTCAGTGTCTAATAGAATGGTTCGTCTCTGTTAACTAGTATTGAAACTACCTTTGTCTGCAGGTCTTCCTGTCCTCGTTGGTTCCTCCGGTGTCTATTCCAGAGGACAAACTGACCCGATGGCACCCTCGCTTTAATGTGGACACCGTGCCAGGCGTCTCATCCAGCTCGCTGCCTCAGCCTCCTCAAACTGAGAAACTGGCCACAGCTCAGGAGGTGCTGGATAAGGCTCGCTCACTCATCACACCCAAGGTACTGTGCACATTTTCAAGTGGTCACTGTTCTGAAAGCGCCTTTTTTTAAACCCACATGTTTTATAATTTTACTGCACCATTTGGTATATTCTTCTTTGTTTAGTTGCACGTCATCACAGACAGCTCAAACCAAAATTACAGTAGCTTACAGTAAAACTATTTTAGATTTCTTTTCCTGGTCATTGGAATATTTCGAGCATTTTTTTATATGAAATGTAAAAACACAGGGTCGGTCTTCTGCTCTGCATTGCCTCTGATACAATGAGGTATTCATTCTTACTATTTTTAAATACATTGCAATCACTTTTTACACAGCTCTGTGTAGCTTTTACCTGTTGGAGGGCCACAGAGCTGTTTAAAATTAACATTGAGCTGCGCGGTGCCTGCACGGGACAAGCACGGCTTTTGTTGTCAGTGTAGCAGCGTCAGTTGATCATAATGGACACGCCCTGCATACTGCAGCAGCCTAACATGCTGTACCGCGACGGTGTCTCATGTATTTTGGCCGTACCTACCCTGGTGCGGCAGCATCAGCTGGCTTGATGGCAGCTATCAGTGCTGCTGTTTGCTTGTCTTGCTAATCAGTGTTCTTTTTTCATGCCACAACAATATCCATAATACATTTTTTACTGTGTAATAAAATGGAAGTGCGCCACGAGAGTGTGTGAAAAGTGTCAGTTGCATGAGTTTCTGGTGAATGCTTCACGCCAAGTTTTTAGGCACAGAAAGCTAAGAACTTCATGTACAGCTCAATTTGTACGTACTACTATGCATATGCACATGTTATTTATTCAGTATATTAATCTTGTATAGTCAGCATTGTTCTGTGCTAAATCAGATGGTGTGCTTTCTTGTCTTGTGTTTAGATGGAGAAAGCTCTGGTGTCTCTGGCTCTGAAGACAGAAGATAAAGCTGCAGAGAGTAAAGAGCCAACATCTCCATCAAACCCAGCAGTCCCCCAGACATCAGCTCCATCAGCTGCCCCCGCAGCTCCGATCCCAACTGCCCTGAAAGGAGTGTCCCAGTCCCTGCTGGACAGGGTAGGTGGACTTGACTGTGATTTATGGGTATTATTAGCATGGCTAATCAGAAAACCATGTTCATTTATCCTTTTGTTGTGGTGGGTGGTTTATCTGCATTTTAGATTCGGGCAAAGGAGGTCCAGAAACTCCAGGCAGCCATGACTCGAAACCCTGCCCAGGAGGACCGCTTGCTGATGATGTCACGGCTCCCTGAGCTGGCCAGGATTCTCCGGAACGTTTTTGTAGCAGAGAAGAAACCGGCTTTAATAATGGAAGTGGCCTGTAACAGGACGGTGGCCAGCTTCAGATCTGCTCTCAGCACAGGTGGGTTCAAACAGCAGAGCTGGATATATTTTTATTCCATACAATGGTTTCTATATAACATTAAGCTGCTAGAAATATATTAGGCAAGTAGAACAGCATCTTGTTGCTGTCTCCTAATACGGTTCAGAAAAGAACTGTTCTGATTGGCTGTTTCTCCTCTCTGATGAACAGGTGAAATGGAGAAACATATCCGCCTGTTGGCAGAAGTGGCTTCTGATTGGCTGACTATTCATCCAGTCAGGAAGGACTTCTACCTGAAGTTGAACAAGAACATGGAGCTCAGCATTGTTCTGGACAAACTGAGCAGCAGACTGCGAGAGGAGGAGAGGCTCTGAGACATTTCCCTGACAGAATGATGACTGAGTAATGTGGCAGTGAAGTGCTCACCTTCCTCAGGCTGTCGCTGTGTGAGCTGCCAGGACACTGAAGGCTAGTTTCTGTAGAGTGCCATGTTTTTCAGTGAATATCACTGGTTTGTGGGCAGTAGGCACGTGTCTTACATTTTTCGACACAGAGGGGTTTGTTATTCGCCCTGTGCTCTAGGCTGTGTGAAAGACATTGTAGCAGACTGATCTAGGCACAGCTCCAGGACACCGTTACGTCCAAAAATCATGGGACCACATTGGACAGACCAGACCCCGTCCTAGTGTTTCTACTGTCCCAGTGTTGTAAGCTAGTTGTTTTAACCACACTTGGGTTGTAGTGGCTGATGATGTGCTTTGTTTTTATCTCCTCCATGAAAGTGTCATATTGGTTGCTGCTTCCAGTCTTTTTAGGGATCAGTTTTCTACAGTGTAGAACTGATGACTGTTTACATTTTTAAAAGTTACTGTTTGATGTTTAAGAAATACATGCATTTGTCAGAGTCACACTGCCTCCAATTTTTTTCTGTGAATGCAGTTTATTAAATATAACACTCCGAAAAGCAAAGACAGTGATTTCATTAATTATCTGACTGCTGGTGGTAAACTTAATCAGTCAAGATTATACTCGAGTAAGGAAAGCGTAAAGGAAGGCGTCATGTTAGTGAGGGAGAAAACATTAATCACTAGTGGCGTCTCTTTATGCAGAAAGTTCTGCTTTGTTGTCCCAGATTTAGAAGTTTCTGCCTACATTGCAATACAATGAAAAAGATGGAATTTTTTGGAGCGAGCTATTTTTAAAAAGTGATTTTAACAATGGTGTGTCTCAATGTCTTACCAGTGAAACCAGTCCCATTATCAAGACAAATGAAGGTTCACACGCGGTGGCTGTTTTCTCTAGGTTTCCAATTGCAGTGCTTTGAGTACTGGCTGAAATGTGTCTGTAGCAATCTACCAAGGCTGGCATTGAACTTGATCAGATTAAGCAAGACTTAATCACAAAAGAGAACAGACCAAGCCAAAGGAATGGCAAATAACATTAATTTCTCTGTAGGGTCCTTAAAGGGAAATTTCGGTTTATTTCAACCCGTCTCCTATCGTCCTAAATTTGTTTCAAGTCACTAGTGACATAAAAATAATAGCTAGCATGTTAGCCGTTAGCCTAGATACAGCCGGGGCGCATAGTAGCGTCAGACCTGTTAAAACGTAAGTGAACGGACAACCTTCAAGTGCAAAGTTAGTCCACTAAACAAGCCTTTTTTCCACAAAGACCGCCTCATATCGTTAGGATAAATGTCAGAGAACATATAGAAAACGACATGTAAACGTGTTGTCTTACCTTACCGGTGTGCTTCTATGTTTGTTTACCATCTAGCTCTACTTTCCAAAGATTTGGATTGTCATTGTCATTGAGATGACATCCAAATAAACCCATTAACCCCACCAACTGAACCCAAAACCCTCGGGCACAGACCTATATACCCTGTATTTCTCTCTTGCTCTCTCTCTCTTCAGTTTTTAACCCATCGTGTGAAACTATGTTTTTTTTTTTTTTTTTTCAATTCACACACACCACATTGTCATTTTTTACATTTCTTTTTACATTACAGTGCAGCAAAGCCATCACTCTGAACAGGTGACAAGTGCAGGCTGTGTGATTTCAGTGCAGTGTACATGGGTTCCTTGAGGAGTTCTCTGAACTATTATCCACAATTTCCACCGAGTTTGATTATATCATCATTTCAGGGGACTTTAATTTTCATGTAGACAATCCAAATGATCATGATTCAACAGAGTTCATAAACCTATTACAGGCTTTTGATTTCTCTCAGCATGTGTCTGGCCCCACTCACAACCGAGGCCATACCCTGGATCTGATTTTTGGAAAGGGACTCAATATTACAATCACCTCAATCAAGGATATCACCATATCAGATCATTTTTGTATTTATTTTGATGCCTCATTTACACCACAAAAAGTATTATGGATGCGGACAGTAAAAAAACGCTATATTGGTGCTGATACTGCTAATTCTTTCACTGAATCCTTTACCACATTCATGTCTTATCTGGCTCTGTCTATATCTATGTCCCCAGATGTCCTGGTAGACAACTTCAATCTGAGAGTGACAAACCTCATTGACAATATTGCACCCCTGAAAACAAAAACAATGTCTGGAAAACAAAAGGCTCCTTGGATAAATGATACTTTTGTGAAACAACTAAAAAAAGAAAGTAGACAAGCAGAGCGCAAATGGAGAAAAAACAAGCTTCAAATTCACTATGACATCTACAAATCCTGCCTCTCCAACTATAACAAGGCAATAAAAACCACCAGACAATCATTTTTCACCAATATCATAAATAATAATTTGAACAATGCACAAGTACTGTTCTCTACCATTGATCGGCTCTTAAATTCATCTTTTTCTACCCACCCAAACTTACTCTCCACTACAAAATGTGAGGAATTTGCAACATTTTTTAATAGCAAAATTACCACAATCAGAAAAAATATAAGCTCCTTGAGCCTTGGCAAAGATGTGTTACCTACTTATATGATTAGAACCTCTGATATGTCATATTTTGCTCCTGTGGACTCTACAACCCTTGCAGATGCTGTGCATCAGCTCAAGTCCTCCACCTGTTGCCTGGATCCAATTCCGACTAGCTTTTTTAAAACTACTTTTAGCTGTTTAAGCACAGAGGTACTACAAATTGTTAATTGCTCCTTCCAGTCTGGTGTTTTCCCAAGTGCTCTTAAAACTGCTGTTATAAAACCATTGTTGAAAAAGAACAGTCTAGATCCCTCAGTTTTAAGCAACTATAGACCATTCTCAATTCTCCCTTTTCTTAGCAAGATCCTTGAAAAAATTGTGTACAGTCAACTGAATGATTACCTGATAACAAATGACCTATTTGATGTTTTTCAGTCTGGTTTTAGATCTCACCACAGCACAGAAACTGCCCTTATTAAAGTTTTAAATGATCTCCACTTAAACATGGACACTGGCAAGCTCTCAATCCTCGTACTCCTAGATCTCAGTGCCGCGTTCGACACTGTCGATCATGGGATCTTACTTGACAGATTGCATAACTGGGTGGGACTTTCCGGTCCTGTCCTAAACTGGCTCACTACCTACCTACAAGACAGGGATTTCTTTGTGTCCATCGATAATTATGCATCTGACAAAGTTGCTGTGACCTGTGGGGTCCCACAGGGCTCAATCCTTGGTCCACTCCTGTTTAATTTATACATGCTTCCGCTTGGGCACATTATACAGAAACATAATATACAATACCATAATTATGCAGATGGTACACAACTCTATATCTCCCTCTCTCCTGATGATTTGACCCCTGTGGAAACACTACTCAAATGCATCGATGACATTAATACATGGATGAACCAAAATTTCCTCCAGTTAAACAATGATAAAACAGAAATCATTATCATAGGTCCAAAAGCAAAAAGACAGGAAGTCTCTGCCATTCTTCATTCATCTGCTCTCAAGTGCAAAGAACATTCATCGATGCTGATCTTAACTTTCACTTTCACATTAACAATGTCACAAGATCATCCTTCTTCCATTTGAAAAACATCTCAAAAATCCGAGACTTTCTGACAAATTCAGATCCTGAAAAACTGGTTCATGCATTTGTAACAAGCAGACTCGATTATTGCAATAGCCTCTTTTCCGGACTCCCTCAAAAATCCATCAAACGACTGCAACTTATTCAAAATGCTGCTGCACGTATTTTAACCAGAACTAAGAAATATACACACATCACCCCAGTTCTTCAGTCCTTACACTGGCTCCCATTGAAGGCCAGAATTGAATTTAAAATTCTTCTTATTGCCTATAAGGCACTGAATGGCCTTGCCCCTAATTATATTAAAGAATTACTTGTGCCATATGAGCCAATGAGAACTCTCAGGTCATCAGCTAATGGTCTCCTCGTTGTTCCCTGCGTGCACACTAAAGCTGGAGAGGCAGCATTTAGCTGCTATGCTCCTAGCAGATGGAATGCCCTTCCAAGTAATGTCAGAAATGTGCCAACACTGAGCTCTTTTAAAAGTAAACTTAAGACATTTCTCTTTACTGCTGTTTTTAACTAGCCTGTTATTTTTTTTCACTATGCACTTTAAATAAGATGCATCCATGTATGCTTGCATACATTCATGTTCTTGTTTGTTGTCTGTCTGCGTGCTTGTAAATATGTGCTCATATTTTATGTTTTTATACATGTTTTTTTGTGAAGCACATTGTGTTGCTTTCTGTATGAAATGTGCTTTATAAATAAATCTTCTTCTTCTTCTTCTTCTACAGTGATGACATACTGATAATACAACTCAACACACAGTGGTTATGCTTGGATTTTGGTACTCTTGATTACCTTTTAATGTGATAAAATGAATCTATATGATGATCAAATAGCCCCTTTCAACTTTGATTATTGTTTAAAAACAAAACCTCAGCATCCTCCAAGGTAAGAGACATAGGCAGTAATGAAATCTGGATGCCAAGTGGTCAGCTTGAGACACAATAGACACTGGTTTGAACTGCTATCTTAGCTGTCCACTTGTGTTTAGATCACCAAAACGCATGTTATTACATGGTCTAAGCAGGCTCTTAAGTCCCTTTTTACTGCACAAAAAAATCTGCAAACACCTGCTAACGTCTTGCTTTTTAATGTAATGGGAGAGAGTACAATTGGGATTCACATGCAGGTCAAATCACTCTGCAATAGTCGTGGGTATTTATTGGCTCTGGTTTTCTCTGGCACTAATTTTAGCCTCTTAACCACAAAAAACGTCCATCTCCACCCAAGCAGCGCTTTAACATCGATTCAAATTAGTCTGCTCCGAATTTGAAAGAGACTGAGTAAGTAAAAGATATATATAAAGTAACCATGGTAAAGTTTACAGTCTTCTGCTGCTTATTACAGTTTACTAACCTGTTTTCCAGTCTGTCCATGAACTTGAACATAACACACCGAAAAAAAATAGCCATACACACACAAAATGGCATACTTGCCTGCTGCAGAGCCGTGCAAATGGCTCTAGTGTACTGGCAATGGGAAAGGAGTCTATAGCCTTTTTTTAGCAGGTTTACCTGAGTTTGAAAAAAAAAAACAGTTGGTAGAAAATGGATAACTGACACAAAAACATGGGAAATAGGGTCCAGTTTTACACACATAACTCATGTATTGTAATCATTTTCTGCTCAAAATCTAATTTTGATTATGAAATACCAATTATACAATCAGAATAAAAAATAAGTCACTACACTAATTCTCATAACTCAGCAAACCCAACTCAATTTCAAAACACAGCATGTTTCCTATCCAAGAGAAGCATAAGAGTCAATCATAGCATGACTTTCAAAATACTAACAGTTGATGGCATAACAAACTGCACAACTTTTCGTGTTTCAGTTCTACCTGCATGCAATAAAAATATGAAATATGTCTATCATTTTTATAATTGTCACTCATTTTAGGTTGAATGTCAAATGTGTGTATTTTTTTTTATAACATACTGTCTAAAAGGTGAATGGGTTATCGTTCCTCTATGGAATGTACAACAGAATAAACTGACAGAATTGCTGCAATAAAAGCTTTATTAGCAACATGACATTTCTGACAATGATCAACAAAAAATCCAACATACATGTGTAACACAAATACAAAAGGCACAGAATGAAAAAACAAACAAAAACACAAACAGTCACAATTTCAAACAGTCCTGATCTAGCTGCTCCTCTGACTGGTCCTCTTTCTCATCCAGACATTACTTTATCTCTGTGTATCCACATTAAACAAAATCAATTCAAAAGTACCCTTTTACTGTAGATGTCCATGTAAGTGAAAGACCTTCAGCACCTGGCTGCATCTGAGTGAAATCAGCTCCGATTGGTCTATTTTACACAAGTGAAAATCAGCCGTTTCTCAATACGTATCTCTTTCAGTCTAGCCTCTGAGTGGCTTTGGTAGACATAGAGGCTTTAAACTACAGTATACTTAAGGATTTAACATTGGGTTTTCATTTCTGGTATGCTGTGTGCAAATACCTGTAAATAATAAGAAAGATCCATAATTTTGGTATTGGGTAAGCTTGTATGAACAGAAAAGTGAAGCTTTTTATAATCTTGTTAACTGACTGCATATTCTGTTAAACCACTAATTCTGTTAATGGTATGGTCCACAGACACATGTTGTGCTAACTATGTTTAGAGTTTTGAAAATGTGACTACAGATTAAACAAAGGGATGTTAATGAATTTAAAAAAACTATCTGTTTATTATTTGTCCTTCATTTTGGCTTTTAACTGAATTTTGGTGGTGGGGGAAAGGTGGTGGGAAAAAAATGTTTTAAAATAGTTAAAGTTAGTGGAATTGTATCAAGCATTTCCTCCAAGAAAAGACCAATAAAAGCTACAGGTAACCATTATATTAAATATTCATGTGTTTATTTGTTGTTTAGCAGCCAACACTATAACGTACTGGGTTGAGGTTAGATGCTAGTTAGCTGTAGCATCACATGGATAGCACAGCATGGCTTTAACCCTCAAGTCACAGGAACGCATTCCTATTCTATTATACCTGAGTGTAAGCATTCTATATACAGATGGAGAAACTTGTTTTTGGAAGACATAAAAATACAAGTGAACAAAATCTGCCTCTTCAGTCTACAACATCCATTCATTCACCCCATCCCATCAGTTCATGACTGAAATGACAAATGGAAAGCACCTGAGTGTTTGTAAAACCAGTGTTCACACCGTTTCCAGTCTGGAGGTTGCAGTAGTCCTCAGTACTGAACCAGGGAGAATACACTGTGGGATTTCAGTTTGTCACTGCCGTTGAGCTCCTTGAGCTCAATGACCACCAGGCAGCCCAGAATCTCGGCCTGCTGCTTCTTCATCAGCTCGCAGGCTGCATACAGTGTCCCTGCAACACACACACACATCTGAATATAACTTTAAAATACAACATGGTTCCTTGGCTTGTTAGCTGAGAGCTGATGTAAATCCATAATGACAGCAGTAACCTCTAAGCAGAAAGATGAATCATCAGAAATGAGAAGGTACTGATATTTTTACCATTTTTGTTTCTTTGTATGCGCTTTGTTGGTCACAAATAGTCAGACTGTATCCAGTGAACATTATGGTTATAAAGCATATCTTACCTCCAGTAGCCAGAAGGTCATCGATAAGTAGAACCTTCTGTCCTGGAGCCACTGCATCCTCCTGGATCTCTACCTCTGCCTGGACGGACACAAGTAACACTTAAAATACTGTTCATTGGAGACTGAAACTGCTCAGGACTGAGGTAACAATGAAAAAGAGAGAAACACACAAGAGATTCTTGAGAAAAATGCTCCTCAGTGCACATGAACTTTGACTGGAGCAATGATTCAAACTCCAGGATGATGATATCTTAGTATGGAACACGGAGCGGCTTTAGACGTCTGTTTTGACTTTTGTATTAATAAGTCAAATTTGTTTGTCTTAACAGGTAAAAATATGCTTAACCTCTCAAATGCATGTTAAGATGACAGAAAATGCCCCGAAAGTGCATTTCTTCTTAAGACATTGAGAACATTAACGCTTCCATGCCATTGGTTGGCGTCAACATACCCACCATTTTTTTTGACGCTTCAGCCGCTGCGGGCTTTTGTTAGTGGGTACGTTTTGCCTATGTACCTATCACCTGTCTTCTACACAACTTCAATTTAGAATTTGCAACAGTCCATTTTGTGCACAGAGGATACATTTTGTCATGAACTGTTGACTGAAGAGAGCAAATGGCCTCTGGAAGCTTTTTTTAGTTACTGTGGCTGTAACATATCGCACCCTTTGTGTGTTTTCATCCAGTATAAATTATATTAAAAGATTCTTCTTAAACACAAACGTGGCATTTTACTTGGTAAAACCAAGCTTTGTATCCATCTTATTCCTTGCCCCCATGATACCTTGTGTGAATTATGGGCATGGTCTCCAGCACTAAACCTGAACCAGAGTTTTCCTATTGTAACAGTTTGGAACGGTATGCTAACAGTATGCTAATCCTGTTATCTTGAACAATTAGGAAATAAAACGTGAAACACACCACCTGTTACACCTCAGACACATAAGGTGATCACACCTCTGTCATCTCTCAAAGCCATCTCAAAGAATTTGTTGTTTTCCGTTTGTAATGGAAATTTCTACATACTGTCTTATTATGCTCATGACAATGGAAACCACTAAAACAGAAGTGCCTGTATGATTGTTAATTTAGCAACAGTGTCCTGTAACATCTTCTTGGTAACATCTTGTCCTTGGTCAAATCACACAAAACTGGTTCAAACCAGTATTTCTTATCAGCTGCCTCTATACTACTGTTGTGTGACCTTTCCACCATGTCAATAAATGTCTGTTAGTTACTGTTTTGCTCTCACTCTACAGATACTGAAGTCTCTCTGTGACCTGGTTGCTTTTCTTGCAAGAGTAAACCTTTATTCAGTCTCCTCATAGAACACATATTACACTCTTTAACCAAGCATGTTAGCGATTAGCTTGCCTTGCTCCATTAGCATACTGTTAAATTTAACAGAGCCTAAGCTAGCTTATGGTTGATATCTACTCCAAGATGGTTTATGATTTATTAACAGACAGTAACACGAGGCAAATAATTTAAATAATTCTGTATTAATTTTAGCTCCATGTAAAATGAATAAATGTGGTGTTTACTAGCTATTGCTCTGCTCGTCTGCCTGAATGACAGTTTACACATTTTTATCACTGCTGACTTATGATATCAGAGTTCTGCGAAGTGAAATATGGCGCTGAATTCAGCAGCATACCTCAGTAATATCAGTAATAGAAAGTAGTAGTAAAACAAAAATCTTTAGGCATTCATTTTATACGATATGAAAGAATTAAGGCAAATCAGTAACACACTCAGAATAAATGACTGAACACTATGCCCATTGTACTTTAATTTAATCCTGCCATCTAGTGGACACTCATGTGAATACAAGCTATACCAAATATTATTCCATCAGTCTCCCCTCTGAAACTGGTGAAATGGTTGTACCCAGTATTTAACATCTTAAGACGGCAGAAATGTACTTGTTAACAGGGAATTTTTTTCTATCATTTTAACGTGCATTTGACGTGTTAAGACATCAAAATAGACATTTAGAGCCCTTCCACATTTCATACCCTAGCCCTTTTTACTCAGTCCCTTCTTTATGCCTCCTTTGCATTTTTAGAAAGAAGCAAGCAATGGTGGCATCAATTCGCTCCATCGTGTGTTTACACACTGCATTCCACAATCAAAAGAGATGTGATGGGTGTGACACGTAACACTATAGCATCGCCCTCTAGTGTGACATGTAATATGCTATAATGATGATTCATAGAAACTTTGGTACAAATCGGATCCAAGCCCTAGTAGGAGATGACAAAAGTGTTTTTCAAAAAATTCAATATGGCGGAAAATCTAGTGGGAGGACCTTAAGGGTTCTTAAAATTTTCGTAGAAAACATGCACCTAGACATGTGTGTCCAACATCAAGTCAATCTGACAATTGCGAGGGTGGTGGTCTTTCAAAACAAAATTTCTTTGAACCTCAATTATAGCGCCTGTTGCCATTTTGCACTGGTGATGTCACTTGGAGCCAGAATCTACACAGCAGCGATCTCCGAGATATCCCTTCCAACCAATTGCGAGCAACGCTACTGATCATGAGCACATTGACACTGACACACGCAGATGTCAATTACAACATGACACCTCCTTTTTATAGTATCAAAAACAAGTTATAACCAAACTTAAAAGAAAAACTAACACTTGCATAAACATCAGCAAGATAAGAACTACCTATAATGACAAACTATCTCTGGAAAAAATGTATTTGAGGTGTACTTTAATCTATAGGTCCACTAACAGGGGGAAGGGTTCATGACCTATACTGCAGCCAGCCACCAGGGGGTAATTGATGTTTTGGCTTTACTTTTGAGGAGCTGTCACATTGTCCATCTATATTATACATTCTATGATATGACACACTCTCCTTACCGGTCAGCTAAATTTTCCTCTGTGTTGCAGCATACTCCTTTTATAATAATATTTTGGGAAAGGGCTGAGGAGCACTTTAAAAAGAACCAGTCCAACATTTTAGTGAACATGCTTTGATCAGACAAGATCTAATCAGTTCAGTATCTGTGTGATAATCTGCTGTCCAACAACTGCAAAACTGTTTCATGTACACATTTTACTGCATTACTGTATGTTGTTTTAAGAACACATGCAGAACTTGAAATGTATACATTTTTAAAAATTTTTACCAACTGATACATCAATTGATGATGAGGACATCCGTTTTCCCTAATTACCATTCTATGGACAATGTAACCTGAACACAACTACAAGGCCAAAAAATAAGAGTAAAGAATTACTTTAAACAAAATGCTAAGTGTTTGTGTGTTAGTGTTCTTTACCTTGCCATACTCCAAATCATATGCCACAGACACAGTGGATCCAGGCAGTTTGCCTTTCTTTCTGACCATGACGAAGCCAACACCCAGCCGCTGGGCGAGCAGAGGCCCAAACAGGAAACCACGAGCATCTAAACCTGTATGCAAACAGAAAATGTGGTACAGGCAAAAAAGAAACATTAGGGCAGGATATACAGTGGATAGAAAACTGAAAATCTCATACAGAATGCCTTATGAATGCAGTGAAATCATTTAATTTGGAAAACAGTACATTTAATTACCAAAAACGGACATTTTACAGATATAATATATTAACATCTTGCAGTGTTGTGAAGTTATCGTGTTGACAAAATCTGTCCACAGACAAACAAAACAAACAGCTACCAAAATACTCTAAAAATACAGTATTTTGGCAGCCTTTGAAGTAGTGCCCCCTACATTAAGTGTCACAAGGACCACATTTTGCCATGACACACACGCATTCACACAAACTTTGTTGCGGCTGGTAATAAAATATAATAAACAGACAAACACAGTGAGGAGGGGTGAAAATAGATTTAACAGATCATGACAGACCTCAAATAAATGAGTTACTGCATAGCACGATGGTTCATGCTTTTTCCAGTTCATCAAGATTATCATTTTTTTGCCAGAAGACATCACAGGTTGGAAAGACAGATGGTAGTAAATAAGCGTACTGCCTCAAATATCTGGTTCGGTAGACGTACTAAAAGGACATGTATTACCAACTTGGACCATTGGATGTAACAAAGAACCCCTGCTCACAAAGCCATGGCAATTGCTGGACTCATCAATTGCCATGGCTATCATGTAACAGACGTAACAGCAGCACTGTTGTCAACTTTCTTTATGAATCAAGCCACACATTTCTTGAGTGAGCAAGTTAGCCCCCAAACATAATTTGAAAAAGTCAAAGCATGTCATTCTAAACAAGCTGGCCAGTTATGAACCCAGCTTGGCCTACATGAATAATCAATGCCACTACCTTCTCAAGGTGTGTCGATGAATACTTTGGAAAGGCACTGTCGCCGCTCTTCATACTCTCCTGTAAGGCTCGTCAGGTACAGAATGTATATTTTCAATTAAAAACGTGCTTTGCTTTGGTTTCTCACCTACGAGCAGATCAACCTCCTGGTGATTCTTCCTGACATGATCCTCAAACAGGTCGATCACTGCTGTCAGAGCAGCTGGATCCTTCAGGATGGGACAGATATCCCTGCAGCACATACACACATTACGTCAGTATCTGCTCAGTTAAAATGCAAACCTATATCCAAACACATTTATATTGTGAGGGTGAGGGATGCATGAAGATATCAGCATATCATCAGCACTAGCTGATATTGACTTTAAAATAAAATATTCGAATGGGCCAACATGCTTTTTCTTATAGGTTTATGTGATAATGTTTCATTCGTCACACAGGCGAAACTGGAACAAGGGTTAGTGTTTTCCACAATGAATGACTTAAACAGTCAAACAATAATCAAATTCGTCTTGAGCTCACCTCAGGCTCTAACTGACTGAAGCCAGGTTTGACTTACAGGCAGTGCGGCAAACAGATAAACCACTGTACTAACATTGCCCATTTGGCAAACATGTACACAAGGGCGTAGTTTTTGTTAGCAGGTACACATACTGAGCAGAGATCTGTCACACACTTCATTTCTTGCATTCCGGTGAATTTTTAATTACAAATTTGTAGTGGAAATGCTTTTATTTCTTATTAAAAAAAAAAAGGGAACTAAGCCAATTTTCAAATTTCCTACAGGTTAATCCTATGGACTGTGACAGTCCAAAAATATTACGAAACACGAACAGCTCTCTCCATAATCCAAAAACTAGAGTGTTAAAAGTAAAATTTGTGATGTCATAGGGTATAAAGTCTAGAGCTGCTCCACAGACAATGAATGGTGGCAGATATTGTAGATGACACTGAGAGCAGCCAGAGAAATGCTGTGAGTATGTGGGTACATTTTCTGTTTCACATATGAGAACACTACAACAGCATAAAGCTCATTTGCTATTATCAACAAAAAAAAAAAGAATTTGTGGGTCGACATTCATTGTCTATGGAGCAGCTTCAGACTTTGACATCACAAGTTTAAAACGTCCTTCTCTGGTTTCTGGCTTTGACAGAGAGCCATGGGAATAAAATAGTGGAATTCTTAATTTGGGGTGGTGTTCCCCTGTGATATCATCCCTGCCAAGTCAACATCCGCAGAGCTGATTTTACTCTTCCATCCTTTTTTGTCTTTTGTTTGAGGAAGTGACCTCTTTACATGTGCATGTAGCACCTATTCCCTTCAATGACACATTAATTCATTGTAATTTATTAACAAACCCCTGGACTTTCATAGCTGTGTTTCAGTATTTCTACTCATGTTCAAAACTTTCTGTACATTCAGAACCCACATATCTGTGCTCTCTGAAATTTAGAGATTAACATTACATAAATTAATAATACACCACTTTATCTCTTATGTTTTTCCAAGACAATAGGTTCCCTGCACGTGTCCGGTTCAAAGCTCGAGGCTCCTTCCCTCACCTGCTGTGTGTGAGCCATTTAACTTACATAGATAAAACATGTGGAGCGTGGAAACCACGGGACCTAACGTCAGAGGAAGCTGTAACTTAGAGTCTTACCTGAACAGGATGCCCTTCTTCGGAAAGTCTGGAAAAGCTCGGATGTGCTTATGAACCAGCTGGAGTTTAGAGTCTGAGTCTGCTGCCATTCTAGCTGTCTGTGGGACGGATTACTTCTTGCTGCTCGCTGTCCCTTCCGCCAGTGTGTGCTGCATTATTCCTCTCACGTATGCAGCTTTAAGTCGCACGTGGCCACCGCCCTCCTCCCGGTCTCAAGTGCGCATGTCCATGTTGTTAAGTGAAGTTAAAGGGAAACACCAGTGGTCTAGGAGAGTTCAATGTTTGTGAACATGAGCTACTCTCTGTCAAAGCCAGAAACCAGAGAAGTAAATTTTAATCTTGTGATGTCATAAAATGTTTAATCACGATTAATCACTCGCGGTTAATCGGAAATTAATCACACTTTTTTTCTGTTCTAAATGTAGTATGAATATTTTTCAAGTTTTTAATACTCTGATCAACATGGGAGTGGACAAATATACTTGCTTTATGCAAATGTATGTTTATTTGCAACAATCTAAAAAAAAAAAAAAAAAAAAAACACTGTCCAGAATATTCTCCAGAATAACCTCAAAGGTACTGCATGCTCACAATATATGCTGAAAGCATACCATGGCAAACTCAAGCCCAACAAGTGCCAACAGATGGACATATTGACCTGGATATAACATTACTTAGTAATACTAACACAATGGAGTTCCAGCTTTACATTTTTAAAGGTTAACTTAACATTGCCTGTGTTTTTTTAAGCAGCTTGAGGTACTCAGGTGGTAGCTCAGTTCACATCAACTGTAAATGCAAATAACTTTGATCTTGTTGAGAGAACCATCTGGCAGGGCCTTGAAGCTGAACTTAAGGTTTAGTGGCATTCAAAGGAATTTGCGTTAACACATTAACTTTGCTCCCTATATAGGGGGATTTGGGGGGAAAAGTCATTCAATTTATCTTTACATTTTTCTAAGTAAAACTGTGTAGTCAGATCCTTTGGGGCAAGACTCCTCCCTCAGGAAGGGGGGCAAAACCCCCCAGGGGCATCCTGCCTCAAAATATTATTTAGTTAGATTATCCAATTTATAGTCTTATGTGACTTTATATAGTAAATATCTACATATAGTATCAGTATAATATAGTTTTAACAGCTTTGTAGCATTATTAGCTGGCTAGCTGGCAATCAGTAGCATTGCTAGCTGACTAGACTTAGCCAACATTTTTAGCAAGCTTGCAAGAGGAAGACATCCTGTACTAAAACAATTAGCCTGAGGGAAATGCTACAAGGCCTCCAGATAACCCATTAATGCGTTACAGTTGGGATTTTAGTTTGTTTTATTTAGTTAAACAGCTCGTTTTGTAGCTCGGGGGCTTTTCACCCCAGTAGTGGAGCGATACGCCACTACTACTACGCCACTACACCACAAGATTTTAATTTTTGTGTTGTAATAACCAAATTGGCTACTGTATCAATTTATTTCTCTCAACAGTGTTTTGGTTTATGCATCATCATCTTGCACATGCTAAAATAATTCCCCAATATTTTTGCAGTGAATTCACTTCCTAACTTTGTGGACTCATAGAGAGTTCTCTTTAAAATTCCCCAGGGAAAGTATTTATACCCAAATGAGTTTCATGCTATTGTAGTGTTCTCAGTTCTCAAACAGAAAATGTACCCATATACTCAGAACATCCCCCTGTGTGCTCTCAGTGTCAACATTTTTCCTAGCAGCTTCAGACTTTATACCCGAAAGCATCACACGTTTAATTTTTAGCACTCAAGTTTTTGAATTTGTCAGAGAGTTGTTCATGTTAACTAATATTAATGGACTGTCTTAGACCATGGGAATAACATGTATGAATTTTGAAAATTGAATTTTTAATTCATAATTGAATTGTGAATTCAAAATGAATTAGGCAATTAAAATGAACATAGGCATGTAGAACTTTTGCTGTTGGTGGTGGTGTGTTTTTGTTTGTCTGTTTGTTTGTTTGTTTTATATATTTCAATGAGTATTTTGATCAGACAACAAAGTAATTAAAAAGACCCTTCCAGTCTTCCAGATCACCTCTTCTCTTTCCATTGAATATTACACTCACAGTAAGAATTACACTGGATTGTTTCTCATTCACAGCCAAACAATGTTAAGTTTAACATTCACCCTTAACCTATGTGTGATGCTTCAATTTTAGTCTGTCGGTTGGTGATAGCCACACAACCCGTTTGAGCTGAGTGGAGTCTGTCCTGTACTGACTTTTAAGTTGTTAAAATGTATCTCACCTCAGGCCCTAACTGACTGAGGCCATCCTTGACCCACAGTAGTACTGGAAATAGGTAATCTACAGTTATAACTATACAAACACTGTTTGACTAGAACAAACACAGGTACAGGCACAGACAAAAAGAGAAGGGGGGGGGGGGCATGCTGTTGCAGAACTTTATGAGCCTATCTTTGGCTATTTGGTGAAACCAAAGTATTTTTATTGTTTTTATGACCAAAGTTGTCACTTTCGCACCAATAGGCCATCTGTTGTCTGTTTTCTGGGTAAAATGTGTCCTACGTGTTCAATTAAACATATGTTCCAAAGATCCAAGCTCCTTCCTTCACCTGCTGTGGCTGAAGCATTCATACTTACAGGGCCGGCCCTAGACTTTTCAAGTCAATTCAATTTCATTTATAAAGCCCAGTATCACAAAAAACAATTTGCCTCACAGGGCTTTACAGCATATGACATCCCTGTGTCCTTAGGACCCTCACAGCGGATAAGGTATAACTCCCCCCAAAAAACCATGTAACAGGGAAAAAAATGGTAGAAACCTCAGGAAGAGCAACTGAGGAGGGATCCCTCTTCCAGGATGGACAGACATGCAATGTCGTACAGAACAGATCAGCATAATAAATTAACAGTAATCCTTATGACACAATGAGACAGAAAGAGAGACAGAGAGAGATGCAGGACAGACAGTAATGACAGCTTACAACAACATTAATTTAAGTAATAATATTTCAATAATAATTATGGCTATTGTGGTACAATGTGTTGTAGGTATGACTAATAATAATAGCAGCAGTAGGAGGCATCAGGCAGGACCACAGCAGCAGCACAACCACGTCACACGAATCCAGGCACAGTTGCGATACGAGGTAACCTGCCAGACAGTGGAGCACAAAGGCTCCGGAGAAGAAGCCGAGTTAGTGACATGCAGTAATAGTTAGTAATGGAGGGAGAGAGAAGGAGAGAAGGTGCTCGGTGAAATATAGGTGATGTAGAGGTCCCCCAGCAGACTAGGCCTATGTCATCCTTACTAGGGGCTGGTCCAAGGCAAGCCTGAGCCAGCCCTTACTATAAGCTTTATCAAAGAGGAAAGTCTTAAGTCTAGTCTTAAATGTGGAGATGGTGTCTGCCTCCCGGACCGTAACAGGAAGATGATTCCACAGGACAGGAGCCTGATAGCTGAAGGCTCTGGCTAGTGATCTAATTTTGGAGACTTTAGGGACCACGAGTAACCCTGCATTCTCAGAGCGCAGTATTCTAGTGGGATAATATGGTACTATGAGCTCTGACGGAGCCTGACCATTTAAAGCTTTGTAAGTTCTGAATTCTGGATTTTACAGGGAGATGGTAGATTTTTTGTTTTGGCTACCCCAGTTATTCTAACATGTTGCCACTTCACATGACACTGAACAATGGCTTTGTTAGGCCTGAGTTTCTGAGGCTTCAGCTCAGAATGTTTAATAAATAGGCACAGATTTAAATAGGCTGTATGTTTTTTTGTTTTTTGTTTTTAAATAAAACTAGGCCTAATGATAAGAATTGTCATTTTCATGCATTAAAGCCCTCAAAAATAATATGATACTGTTGAACAAAAATGCAGGTTTTGGATCGAATGTGTCAAATGCATACATTTTAAATGCTTAATATACTGTAAGGTAATATAATGTATAATAATACATTGTCATTTATTAATTTATTATTTTTTGTATTATGTATCTAAGATTTTAAAGTAACTAAAGCAGAAAAAATAAATGTAGTGGAGTAAAAAAATTGTTTCTCTCTTAGACGTAGTGGAGTAGAAGTATAGGAAATCGTAAAATAGAAATACACCTCAAAATTCTCAAAATTTTAATGATAGCAGTTGCATAGCTTTCTGTTTCTATTTTACACTAATTACTAAGAACTATTATACTATTATAGAATATTTTAGCATCACAAATTATGATTTATCTGGAGGGAAAAAAATAAATCGTCTTTAGGGGTAAATAAGATGCCAGAGTGCATTAAAGGTATCAAAATAGGGTTTGTTCTTAAAAAAAAAAAAAAAAAAAGGGTCCCCCTACAGAGGTTCAGGCTAAGCCCCCGATGTCCTCACATCCTAGAAATGCCCCTGGTACTGAACCAACTTGTGTATTGCAAATATTAGTTTAAGCACACAGAATGTTCAAATAAGCATACGAAGCCTAAAGTGGGAACTATTATCAGGAACACAGTCTTTAAATAGACATTTCTCAGACATTTTTACACTGCGTACCACCTCTACTGTTAAATCATAGTGCCCTGCAGTAGTCAGGTTTATTCCTAATCAAAATATTATTTATTATTTTTGACTGTTGTTAGCCACAGCCATGCTGTATGCAGTGGGGATAGCACAAGAAATGACACTTAAACTCTTCTACACAACTCTCTTACAACACAAGTACCACCCCCTCATCAGCTGCTGTGGTGACCTCCCTGGCCAGTAGTTGCCACTAGCACTTGCACTCTGTTGATTGCCGTCCACCTCATCTTCAGCATGGCTGCTTGAAATATTCTCCTCCTGATCTGCACCTCTCTTCCTAAAAGTTCCTGTTTGGAGCCACAATTACAGTGTTTTTAAACCATTTATTTCACCTTTGCTTACCTTCTTGCTAGTTAAGCATGTAACTAATCATGGACTTATGCGCACAATGTGGTAATGAAAGTGACTATGTAGCAGGCTGTTATCGCAACAAAAATATTATGGAAAAGGCTTATTTCAAATTATATTTCAGTGATCTCATAGTTTAAGTATTTTCATAATAAATGTTGTAGTATTTGACAGCATTATATACATTTAAATTCATATAATGTAGGGGTGACCAAACATGTGGCCAACGGGCCAACTGCGGCCCACTGCCCTGTTTTCAATGGCCCACAGCGAATTTTAAGAAATAC